ATCTTATAACATCATTATGTTTTTTAAAGATTATAATTTACTTATTTATTTGAAAAGCAGCACAACAGAGAGAGGATCAGAGAGAGAGAGATTCCATCTGCTGGTTCACTTCACAGAGGCTGCAATGACTGGGGCTGGGCCTAGCTGAAGGCAGGAGCCAGGAACTCTATCCGAGGCACCCCACATTGGGGGCGGGGAGCTGAAGCACTTGGACCATGGTGATTGCCTCTCTGGTGCATTAGCAGGAAACCAGATCAGAAGCGGAGGAGCCGGGACTCGAACCAGCGGTCTGATTATTGATGCGTGCATCACAAGCCTTTCTCACATTGCTATATTTATATTCTCTAAGTAGCTCTAAGAACTTTGAGAGAAAATAACGCCTGTTCACTATTTGCTGTCTACAAGGCCAAAGCATAGACCATTTCCCCCATATTTAGCATATTTTACAATCTCTTGTTTAAAAGTTGATTTCACTATTAATGCCTTTATTTGAAGTTATTCAAAGTATCCGGAGATAAATGTTAAGAAGTTTGCCTATAAACACACGGATGGCTAAAAATGGACTATGACTCAGACCAAAGAAATCACTTTAAAAACAGTCACAAAGCAAATCTGAACCTGAAATCTGTTTTTCAACAGCCACTCAAACATGCACGGGCAAACAAACCGAGCGACGCCTTTGTGACTTTATCGCCAGAGCACAGGACACTTGAAAACGCTGGCGTGAACAGAGAGACGCATGAAATGTGAGGATGTTCAAGTCTCGTTTGCGGTGTTCAAAAGTCATACCCTTGCAACTGTCAGAGGAAATACACACTGAAGGTGTTGTCTTTTGGACAGGTAATAAATTGTGTATTTTTGTGGGGTGCAGTGTGATGTTTTGGCACTTGGGTACACTGGATATTGATCAACTCATGCTATTTAGTCATGCTGTCAAGTCTTGTTATTTCTTTGTGTAGGGAACATTCAAAATCCTCTCTTCTGGCTGGTTTGAATGATGAGACATTGCTGGCAAAAATCCCCCTTCTGTGTAATAGGACACCAGAACCCACTCCTATTGTCAGGTGTGAGTTTGTACCTGTTAACCATTCTCTTCCTCTCTTCCTTCCTTCACCCTCCCCAGCCCCTGGTAACCAGTATTCTGCCCTCTGCATTTCTGAGCTCAGGTTTTTTTAAAGATTTATTTACTTATTAGAGAGAGACAGAGAGAGAGAGAGAGAGAGAGAGAGAGAGAGGCCTTCCATCCACTGGTTCACTCCCCAAATGACTGCAACAGCAACAGCTGGGGTAGGACCAGGCCGAAGCCGGGAGCCAGGAGCTTCTTCTGAGTCTCCAATGTGGGTGCAGGGGCCCAAGCATTTGAGCCATCCTCCATTGCTTTCCCAGGTGCATTAGCAGGGAGCTGGATTGGAAGTGGAGCAGCCGGGTCTTGAACTGGCGCCCATATGGGATGTTGGCATTGCAGGTAGATGCTTAACCTGTTGTGCTACAGCACCAGCCCTTGAGTTCAGATTTTGAAGAGTCCACATATGAGTGAAATCTTGCAATATTTATCTTTATCTGCCTGGGTTATTTCACTTAACATGATCTTCAGGTCTGCCCATGTTGCTGTAAATGACAGGATTCCATCCTTTCTTATGACTGCATGGTATTCTTCTGTGTGTGTGTGTGTGTGATATTTTCTTTATCCACTCATCTGTTGGTGAACACCTAGGTTGATTCCTTTTCTCAGCCACTGTGAATAGTGCAGCAATGAACAGGAGACTATAGATATCTCTTTGATATCTTCATGAAATCTATTTCTTTTTTTCTTAAAGTTTTCTCCATTTGAAAGTCAGAGAGAGAGAGAGAGAGAGAAAGAGAGAGAGAGAATCTTCCATCTTCTAGTTTGCTTCTCAAATTCCTGTCACAGCCAGGGCTGGGAGAGGCTAAAGCTACGCACTCCATCAGTTTCCCACATACCTGGCAGGAACCCTGGTAACTGGATCATCTTCTGCTGCCTCCCAGGGCGTTAGCAGGAAGCTGGAAGAGAGGCAGAGGCAAGGCTGCATCCCAGGCACTCAGATGTGGGATGCAGGCGTCCCAAGGGGCAGTTTAACCTCCCGCACCGCTGGTGAATTCTACTTCTTCCTGTCTTGTGGTAGCCTCAGTAAGGTTTTCATTTGGACTTGATGTGCTCTGCTCTGTTCCTTTTCCCCTCAGTTGGATTTCTTGCCACTTTTTGGAAAGATTTCTTTATAAAGAATTTGCGGTAGCTTTCAAGAGCCGAAGTCAAGCACATTCACACTGGACTAACAGGCAGTGAGGTGGCCACTTCCAGATGAAGCACCTGTCGGATGGCTCCTTGCAGGTCGCCAGCTGTGTATTCTGTCTACTTCAAGGCAGGCCCTGAGCAGAATGAAGGAGAACTCAGGAATTTAGACGCTGGAGTTTCTGCTGACATTTCCTTGTGAAAATAAAGGGGCACTAAGGCACCCTTCCAGGCGTGTTTATGGCTGTGGCTAAGACGGGACATGCTTTTAGGGGCTGGTAGCAGCTTCCATGCCCCCGGCTCTACTGCTTAAGCAGTGCTTAGTCTGAGTAATGGAGTGGCATTATCTGTTCGGGCAGCGACAACAAAAGCACCATAAACTGGGATGCCTATGAGTAACACAAGTTTATTTCTCACAGTTCTGGAGGCTGGAACATCTAAGATCAAAGTGCTGGCCGACAGAGCGCGGAGGAGGGCCCACTCGGCTCATAGCTGGTGCCTCATTGTGTTCTCACATGGGGGAGGGGACAAGTGTGCTCTCTGGGTTCCTTCTGTAAGAGCACTAATGTCATTCACTAGGGTTCTTGCCCTCTTCATGCTATCACTTTAGGCATCAGGATGTCAAAATGTACATTTTTGGGGGAACACAAACATTTAGACCATCGCACTAAGAAAATGGAAGCAAATAATGACCTCTGGACTGCAGGATCTAGAAGCAAGCTTGGGAAGCAAGGGCCTAGAGCTCCCTCTGTAGACTGCTATAAAGGGACACTATGCAGAAGAGCATTTCCAAATCAGGAGAGATCTTAAAGGTATGGGAGCCATGTGACCCAGCTTTTCCAATGCCAACACAATTTCAAATACTGTGCCCCTCTCCTAGACCATGCATCGCAGGCCACCTGGGCCACCATCTTAATTTTATGGGCAAAGAAACAGGATAAATAATTTGCCATATATCACACACATAAATAGTGTGAGATGGAATGCTAAATGATCATTCTTAACTGTTTTTCTAACCAATCCCCAGGACAAAAACTGAAGTCTAAATCTGGACCTTTCTCACTGCATACACTGAATCTGCTCTCTGTGAGCTGCACCAGTAAGATGATCTGAGGTAGGAAGGAAGTTTCACACGAGCTAACACCTCCTACAGGAATGCTGGCTCTGAGTATGACAGCCAGCAAGACTGTATTTCACTTAAACTGAGGATCATTCCAGTAACCAATTTTAGGATGAAGTAAGAAGCCACTAACAAGACATTTGGGTGTGTGAACTGTGTATTAGTTAGAAAACTTGATGCAAATTGCATTTTAACATTGAGTCAAATAATACACAGAAGGAAGAAAGGAAAACTTTGAAGGGGAAAATTGGACAATGTATATTCTGGGAGATTCATCAAAGTACAGTAATATTTTTAATATAACTCAAATACCACATTTACAAATTTTAGCCTCTTATATTGATTATTTCCTACACCATTTACAATTATCGGCAAGAAGTTTGTAAATGCCTGTAATATGTCATATCCTTAAGCTAATTTAGGTAATGATTGTCTTATTTACAAATAATATATGTCACTGTATCTTTGTAATATAAAGCATTATTCATATTTCTGCTTATTTCCTACACACAAGTGACTAGAAGCTCAACTAGTAGGTCAGGGTTTGGACAATTTAAGGTTCTCAATAGCATCTGTCAAATTAATTTTCAGAGTTCCACATCAGAGTATCTGGATTTGAGTCCCAATCTGGCTCCTGCCCATAGCATCCTGCCAGTGCACACCCTGGGAGGCAGCAGGTAATGGCTAATGTCCTTGGGTCCCTGCCACCAACGAGGGAGACCTGGACTACATTCTCTAGCTCCTGGCTTCAGCGCTGGCTCAGCCCCTGCCGTTGCAGGCACTTGGAGAGTGAACTAGCAGATGGGAGTTCTCTCTCTGTCTCCTTTCTTGTCAAATTTAAAAAAGAGGCATTAGTACTGGCCCTACCACAAACAAGAGTTTTTATCTTAAATAAAACAAAATTTCAACAAGTCTTAACTTGTTCATCTGTAAAATAAATTGGATAATCTTGAAGAACCTTTCCAATTTAAGAACTAGGCAACTTGTAGTTACAAAAAATAACACACAGCACCATCTAGAGGTAAAACGAAATACTTCTATACATTTTTCACTTAAGGATTCTTCAGTCTTACAACCAAAATAGCAAATCAATACATTTTATTGGGGAGGGAGATTTAATATATGTATTTTTATTCTTTAAATTTTTAATATTTTTGAATTTTAATTAGTTTTTAACAGTATCAATGTGTCTTGTAGATACAATTTTTTTAAAAAAAGAGTTATGTGAAAGACAGAGTTACAGTGAGAGGTAGAGACAGAGAGAGAGGTCTTCCATCCACTGGTTCACTCCTCAGAAACAGCTCCGCAACAGCCAGAGCTGGGCTGATCTGAGGCCAGGAGCCAGAAGCTTCTTCCTGGTCTTCCCATGTGGGTGCAGGGGCCCAAGGACTTGGGCCATCTTCCACTGCTTTCCCAGGCCATAGCAGAGAGCTGGATTGGAAGAGGAGCGGCCGGGACTAGAACCGGCACCCATATGGGATGCCAGCGCTTCAGGCCAGGGCATTAACCCGCTGCGCCACAGCGCCAGACCCATAGATACAATTCTAAGAACATAATGATATTCCCTTCCTCCTTCTCCCCCTCCCTCCCTCCCATTCCCTTCTCTTCCTCCCACCCTTCTTCCCTCTTTCCCTCTTTCTGTCCCTTTTTTTAGTTTTTGAGATAACATATTTCAAACTCGCATTACAGTAAAAAGGCTTAATACTTCATTGAATAAGAAGTTTAACATGTAAAAGGCAAAACGATCCTAGTTTAGGGGAATATGGACAGCAGCTATAAACAATAATTGAATGGAAAATGAACATTTCACTCATATACAATAAATTTTAAAGTACTCACAGGTCATTAAAACCATACTAGTAGGGGCCAGCGCCTGGTGTAGTGGGTAAAGCCATGGCCTCTAGTGCCTGCATCCTATGGGTACCAGGTTGAGTCCCAGATGCTCCACTTCCAATCCAGCTTATATGGGCCCATATGGCTGCTTCCTTTCTGATCCAGCTCCCTGCTACTGTGCCTGGGAAAGCAGTGGAGGATGGCCCAAGTGCTTGGACCTCTATACTCACGGGAAACCTGGGGGAAGTTCCTGGCTCCCAGCTTCAATCTGGGCCAGCTCCAACCATTGCAGCCATTTGGGGAGTGAACTAGTGGATGGAAGATTCTCTCTTTCTCTCTCTCTCTCTTTCTCTCTCTCTGGGTGTGTGTGTGTGTGTGTGTGTGTGTGTAACTTTGCCTTTCAAATAAAATAAATCTTTTTTAAAAATGGTGGTATATCAATATATTTTATATTTGAAAAAATTGGGGCCGGCGCTGTGGAGTAGCAGGTAAAGCCATTGCCTACAGTGTCAGTATCCCATATGGGTGGCGGCTTGAGTCCTGGATGCTCCATTTCCAATCCCGCTCTCTGCTGTGGCCTGGGAAAGCAGTAGAAGATGGCCCAAGTCTTTAGGCACCTGTACCTGTGTGGGAGACCTGGAAGAAGCTCCTGGTTCAAGGCTTTGGATCGGTGCAGCTCTGGCTGTTGCAGCCATCTAGGGAGTGAACCAGCAGATGGAAGACCTTCTCTCTCTCTCTCTCTCTCTGCCTCTACAACTCAGCCTTTCAAATAAATAAAAAAATAAGTCTTTAAAGGAAAGACATAGTAACTTAAAGCAACAAGAAAAAAAAACCTTGAAAAAATAAAAATTTCAAAGAATTGCCACCATATGGGAAAAACTCTTTCAATAAGTCTGTCATAGTAGCTACAAAAATTCTTGATTCTTACATGAATCAACCATGACTTTTTAGGGGATCAACCAGTTTCTCTGGCATCTTTAAGAAAATAGATATCACCACCTTAGATCCGCCAGTGAGGAACCACAGGTGTCACACTTGCAGAAGACTGTGACGTGTGGACATTCCGCATTTATCGGGCATCTTCAATGCTCTCTTTACCCCTGGGGCTTTGTGCACCTGATGGAAGCAGTCATAGAGACAGTTCCTCCACACCTGGGGACCCACGGTTGCTCCTGGGCTTCAGCTTCAGGGAAACAATGCCCTAACTGAAACGTGGTCAGCAACAGGAGATCCCAGCCGGGGCACCTGAATCAACTTGGACTTGAAGAAACGCCCGACCTACGCGGTCTTCGCAGCAGCTTTGTTCATACACCTATGTTCCTGACAGCCTCCCTCTCCTTCTAACCCCTTCTAGAACTGTACTGTTTCAATCTGTAGTTTCTAGATTGTTCTGTGCTCTTCAGCTTCATCGTGTTTCGCTTTCTGATAAGACTGTAAACTCTCCAGGTGCAACTGCCTCTTGTGGTTGCCTTGGACCTGGCTCCCCACCCCCAGGTGTGCAGTGCTGTCAACATTTATGCAGGCCATCTGCGTGGTGGTGCCTTTCTGGGAACTAGGACGATCCACTTCCTCTGGCAAAGGGAACTGTGCCGGTAAAACGGAGCTCAGGCAAACAAGCACTCGATAATTGTGTGGCAAAGCTCACCAACAGTGTTGCCTCAGACCGGAGTTTACTCCTGAGTGATGCAACTTAGATTCAAAAGAAAAACAACACAATCTCTTCTGAAAATTTCTCATATTTGTGTGATCTCCAGCTTCTAATTCATATTTGGGAACAGATTCTCTTTGGGGAATTACATAATCATAACTTGTTTCTAACAGGGAAGGAAGAAATAACTACATTTTTTTCCTTTTTATTCGGAAATTTTTTCAAAACATCTAGAAAAGTTGAAAGAACAATGAGCGCCCTTAAACCTACAATCTGGCCAGTGCCGCGGCTCAATAGGCTAATCCTCTGCCTAGTGGCGCCAGCACACCGGGTTCTAGTCCCGGTCGGGGCGCTGGATTCTGTCCCAGTTGCCCCTCTTCCAGGCCAGATCTCTGCTGTGGCCAGGGAGTGCAGTGGAGGATGGCCCAAGTCCTTGGGCCCTGCACCCCATGGGAGACCAGGAGAAGTACCTGGCTCCTGGCTTTGGATCAGCGCGGTGCGCTGGCCGCGGCGGCCATTGGAGGGTGAACCAACGGCTAAAGGAAGACCTTTCTCTCTGTCTCTCTCTCTCACTGTCCACTCTGCCTGTCAAAACAAAACAAAACAAAAAACAAAAACAAAACAAACCTACAATCTACATTTAACTATTATCAACATTCTTCTTTATTGTTCTTATTTTTTGTTCTCCTTTTTTCATTTCTGTACCGTTAAAAGTAAATGGCTAATAACACATATAAGAATAATAAAGAAAACAACAGAAAAAAATTTAAAAAGAGAAAAGAAAAGTAAATGGTTGATGTCAGGACGCAGTCCCTAAAGACTTCCTTGAACAGCACTCACGGACAAAGATAGTCTCCCTTATTACAACAAAGCCATTGTGACGTGTAAAAAAAAAAACAACTGTTTTTTAATGCCCTAATTACTAGTATGCAGCCCCAATCCAAATTCTGTAATTCTCCCAAGGATGTCCTTCATAGCTGTGATGAAAAACAGCAACAACTCGGGACCTAATCAAAATGCACACATCACATAGGGTTGTGTTGTCTCTGAAGCTCTTGTTGGTTGGGCATTTAGTATTAGTCCCAAGTTACACAGGCCATGCTTATTGTCACAAGAAAGTATTTTTGAAGATTTATTTATTTATTTGAAAGTCAGAGTTACACAGAGAGAGGAGAGGCAGAGAGAGAAAGAGAGAGAGAGAGGTCTTCCATCTGATGGTTCACTCTCCAGATGGCTGCAATGGCCGGAACTGTGCCAATCCGAAGCCAGGAGCTTCCTCCCGGTCTCCCACGTGGGTGCAGGGGCCCAAGGACTCGGGCCATCTTCTACTGCTTTCCCAGGCCATAGCAGAGAGCTGGACAGGAAGTGGAGCAGCCAGGTCTCGAACCGGTGCCCATATGGGATGCCAGCGCTTCAGGCCAGGGCGTTAACCCACTTGGCCACAGCGCTGGCCCCACAAGAATGTATTTTTAAAAGTACTCGTTTTCATTTCATCTGAGAGGCAGAGAGAAAGATAAAGAGGGATTCTTCTATCCACAGGTTTTACTCCCCAAATGCCTACAAGAGCTAGGACTGGGCCAGGCTGAAACCAGAAGCTTGGGACTCAATCCCATCTCCCACGTGGGTGGCAGGGACTGAACGACTCGCGTACACAATGAATGCACGCCCCCTCCCAGGATGTGCATGAGCAGGAAGTTGAATCAGAAGTGGAGGAGCCTGGTTCCGGCTAAGCTCTCCAATATGGGATATGGCTGTTCCAAGTGGAAACTTAACCTACCTTTACCCCCCGCTATGCCAAACGCTCTCCTCCACAGGAATATCTGAGGTAAGTTTTGGTTGCTGGGTGCAGTGGTGACAAAAGACTTCCCTCTGAACACACTGGTGTTCGCAGTCACAGAACAGGGCACGGAGCTGTGCTCTGCCATCTAGCGGGAACACCACAGCACAAACGCGATGCTGAAGAACCAGCTCGTGGTAGTCTACACCGCGGGAGCCACTCGTGCACACTGCCCTGCTTTTCTGGGCACTGCAGTGACAGTCTGCGGGGTCCAGCAGGAATCACCCCTGCGACACCTGCTAGGGAGAGCAGTGACAAGGCGTGCCCGCTTCTCACTGTCAGAGGACCGTCTCCCGTAGGAAAGACGTCTGAGGACAAGGATTTTTACCACGACTGCTGCGATTTCTGATGTGTAAGTGAAGAGTTTCAAGTGATCCAGTTTCCAGAGCTGGAGAGAGAGAGAGAGAGAGAGAGAGAGAGAGAGAGGTCTTCCATCCGCTGGTTTACTCACCAGATGGCCACAACGGCCGGAGCTGTAACCATCCAAAGCCAGAAGCCAGGAGCTACTTCTGGGTCTCCCAAGTGGGTGCAGGGGCCCAAGGACTTGAGCCATCCTCTACTGCTTTTCCAGGCCATATCAGAGAGCTGGATGGGAAGTGGAACAGCTGGTACTTGAACCGACACCCATATGGGATGCAGCACTGCTGGTGGCGGCCCCACTCACTACACCACAGTGTCAGCCCCAACTACAGCAATCTTTTTAAAGGTTTATCTTATTTTTATTTATTTGAAAGGCAGACTGACAGAGAGAGACATCTTCCATGTGCTGGTTTACTCCCCAAATGGCTGTAACAGTCAGGGCTGGGCCAAGTTGAAGTCAGGAGCCAGGGCCTCTGTTCCCCCACATTGGGGACAGGGGACAGTGCTTGCGCTGTCATCAGCTGCCTCCCAGGGTGTGCATTAGCAAGGAGCTAGATTGGAAGCAGAGGCAGGACTGAATTCCAGGTGCTTTGAAATGGGATGTGAGCATTCCAAGTTGCAGCTTAACCTTCTGCACCGTAAGACCCATTCCAAGAAAAACAGGGAAGAGTTCCCATCCAGGGGCCAGCATTGTGGCTTAGTGGGTAAAAGCTGCCACCTGCAACACTGGCAATCCATATGGGTGCTGGTTTGAGACCTGGATGCTCCATTTCCCAACAAACTCTCTGCTATGGCATGGGAAAGCAGCAGCAGATGGTCCAAGTCCTTGGGCCCCTACACCCAAGTGGAAGACCCAGAAGCAGCTCCTGGCTTTGGCCTGGCCCAGCCCCTGCCATTGCAGCCATTTGGGGAGTGAACCAGTGGATGGAAGATCTCCCTCTGTATCTCCCTTTCTCTCTATGTAACTCTGCCTTTCAAAAAAATAAAATAATGTTAAATAAATAAAGAGTTATCATCCACTGGTTCATCTCCCAAATGTCTATAATGGCCAAAGCCAGAGTCAGGAGCCAAGGACACAATTCAGGTCTCCCACAAGAGTAGCTGAAACCCACTTATTGAGCCATCATCACTGCCTCCCAGTGTCTGCATTAGCAGGAAGCTGGAGCCAGGAGCCAGAGGAGGAGCTGAACCCAAGGTCTACGATGTGGGGCACGGGTGTCTTAACTGCTGGGCTGAACGCCTGACAGATGCAATGATCTTCTAGAGAAAAGAACAGTGCTGCCTTCCGGTTCACAGCTGAATCTCTAAATAAGCAATTGTCCAAGTCAACTTGCAGCCCCTACAGTGAGCAAGGAGTCACTCACCTTGCTCAGGCTTACAACTTGTTGCATGACCCCTTTCTAATTCTTAAAATTACACATTTTAGTCATATTTTAGATTTTAGCAAAGTGTTTTTTAAATTATTTATTTATTTATTTGAAAGGCAGTTACAGAGGGGTGGGGAGACAGAAAGAGAAAGAGATCTTTCAATCTGCTGGTTCACTTCCCAAATGGCCACTGGGCCAGGCTGAAACCAGGAACCAGGAGCTTCTTCTGGGTCTCCCACGAGGGTGGCAGGGGCCCAAGCACTTGGGTCATCTTCCTCTGCTTTCTCAGGCACATTAGTAGGGAGCTTGATCAGAAGTGGAGCAGCTGGGATTCAAATCGGTGCCCATATGGAATGCCAGCATCACAGGCAGCAGCTTTTCTCACTACACCACAATGCCGGCCCTGTTTCTGATTCTTTATAAGGAAAAATAACGTAAGCCTGAATTTGAAGAAATTCCTACCAATGCCTTCCCCAAGCCAGCGCACAATTATCCACAAGAGTAATTTTCAGTCACTTTGTGTTACCAATTTTCATGAAGTTGCTAGTATTGATAAGATGGAAAGTTTTAGTTATTATTTTTTAACCCTCTCACGTCATACACTGAATTCTAGAGGTCTGGGTTTTAGCACTCCTTCCAGATGAATCTGATGCTTGTTTGAGAACTGGGCAGTATTCACCGAGTGTTTAAGATGTCTGCAGCCCACATTGGAGTGCCTGGGTCTGAGTCCTGGCTCTGCTCCTGATTCCAGCTTCTGGCTGTTGCACGCACAGGCAGGCAGCAGGTAATGGCCCCAGTAGTTGAGTTCTTGCCACTTGTGTGGGAGATTCAGATTGAGTTTCTGGGTCCTGGCTTTGCTGTGGTCCTGCCCTAGCTGTAGTGGGCATTTAGGGGAGTGAACCTGCTCTCTGTCTCTCTGCCTTCCTCTCTCTGCCTTTCAAATAAGTAAATCAATAAATAGCTTTTTAAATGAATCATTAAAAAGTTGAAGACCTACTGAACTAGGACGTGTTAGTATATCTATTAGTGGACATGAATATGATGGAGGCAGGACATCTCTAAGGAAATTTTGCAGGAAGATGGGCAAAGAAGATAAAACAACTTCAAATCAATAGAACACCTGGGGCACACAAAAATAGGCCACCTGAGCCTCAGATGTGACATGCACAGGCTGCTTTCACAGGTACATTTCACCCTTTTCTTTGTGCTATGACCACAGCAAAGAAGCACAAAGGACAGAACAAAAGAAAAAGGAACACCTATCTTCTTTCCTTTAAAAAATGTTTAATAATTTATATAGCAAGTGGGTATTTGATGTTCACTCTTGTCTTTGCATCTCTTCTTTCTCTGAGCTATAATTATGGATTGGGTATGAAGACAGAGGAAGAATCACCCCGGGAGCTTTTTCCATCTTCTCCTCAAAGACGTGTTGCTATGGAAATGTGGGTTGATGGGAACATATGAGGAAGCTTCAAAAAGTTCAGGAGAAATGGAATTGAAAGATAAGTTGATCTTGAAATCTATATAGTTTTTTTCGTAATACTCACTTTCCAGGAAGTTTGGAAGCTGAGAAAGCTTCCTCTGATTCCGTCTACATCTGTCCTCATCTCTCCACACTTCCCACCAATTATCTTTGCCTCCTGCCAATGCAGGAGGGATGAACAAGATCACCAGCTTAACCTTCTGCCCCTTGGGACTTACTCACATGCACCAACCACGGCTGAGCACCATGCTGGAAGGTGCAGGCTCTGCCCATGGGATGTTACATAGTCATTTCCCACACACAAGAAGCAACAATGAGAAGCACTAGACTAAGTGCAACTGAGTGCTGCACCGCGTGATAGACTCTGGGGCTTGGAATCTGGAGAAGAACAAGGTTTGGTTTTTCCATCTGTTTTCACAACACTGTCTTCCCATTTTGGGGCCAGAAGGCCCAACCTGCCGATAGGACAAATAGGCACTCACATTCCACTCATGCAAATGAACAACTGGGAGGGAAGAGGATCATCAGGTGTTTCCCAAGACATCCCTGAGATTAGAGGTGAGCCAGGGCCACAGTAAGTCTAAACTGATGAGGGACCGCTGTTGGCCTTGTGGTTAGCTCACGTTTCTCCATCCCCTTCCTGTTGCCTGATTCTCACTGTGTTCTTTATTCTTTCAACCATGAATAAGTAGGGCAGTGGACAGGGCAAATAAATTTTAATGCAAGTTGTACTCTTTAGAAATAAAAGTTTTAATAAGAAGAAAATATCAAAATGTTGGCCAAGCTGTATACAAGCATATCGTGATGAATTATCCAAATATTGTTCACTAAAAAAAAAATTGTTCACTAAAAGATATATCGTTCACTAAAAAAAAAAAAAAAAAGCATGGTAAGAATAGTGTGTTTGTATATTTCTGTTGAAAGGGGAAAGTAATATTTATATTTATCATAAACATTTTTGGAAAGATAAACAAGAAACTGGTAATTAGTTCACCCTGAAAAAAGCAATTGGGTGCTTAGTGGGCGGGGTAAACAGAGTATTCACTGGACACTCTTTTATGGTTTGAATTTTGAACCATGCGTTTGTATGGCCTATTTAAGCAAATAAAACATTTTAATTATTGTCTAAAAGAGATTTAGGAACCTCAATCCTTTTTCCTAAGAGGCATCAAGGCATGATAGAAAAAGCATTGTCTTTGGAGTAAAAAAAAAAAAAAAAAGGGTGAAACCTGACCTGCTATTTACTAGGTCTGTGACCTTGGCCAAGTTTTTTTTGAAGTGAGCTGCATCTCAGTTTTGGCATAAATAAAATTGGTAGAACAAAAGCTACTTTGTGAGGCTTAAACATTATATAAAACTGCCTTGTGTTTACTAAATGGTAGCTATTATTCTGTGGATTTCAGTTATCCTTGCTATCCATTACCACCAATTATGAGTTGGAGTTTGATTAAAGGGAATCTGAGTTACGAATGAGGTCTGAGAGTCCTACATTACAGACATCAACCGCCTATGAGGGAAATCTAATCATTAAGAAATGTATTTAGGTGCTGTTTTGAGTCTTCAGGTGCAAACATTATGGTTTTTGTTTTCTGTTGCTTTTTTTTTTTTTTAAGGTTATTTAAGTACTATCCTGAGAGATGGAGCACTCATTGGCATCTGTTCAGGGCCAATTCCATAATGCAGTTTCATATTAGTTCTCTCTTCTGCTTTTCCTTACTCCTGTTTCTTGGAACTGCCCTTCTTAATGAATAATGCATTAATCTTTTGCCTCAGGCTATGCTTTCTGGGGAAACTCAAGCTAGAAAACTGGGACTCACCTGAGTCTGGGACTGTGGAGCTGTATTATCGGTGCCTTCGCCAAACACCTCTGGGCCTTAACTGGCTACCAACGTTTGCATCTCTTACTCTGCCAGTGGGCTTGCTCTGCCACCCTCAACCAACATTTGTAGACTGTCCTTTCATTTTCTCGATGGGGTACAGTGGTGTCCCCTTATTCACAGTTTTAAGAGAAAAACTCTTATTATTATTATTTACTTGAGGGAGATAGAAAGATACAGATAGATGAGAAAGACAGAGGAAGAGACAGGAAGAAAGAGGAAGAGAGGAAGGGAGGAAGGAAGGAAGATCCTATCTGCTGGTCCGCCCCTCAGATGCCCACAACGGCTCCCAGCTAGAGCTGAAGCCCAGAAACCAGAACTCAATCCAAGTCTCTCAGGTGAGTGGCAAGAACCCAGCTACTTGAGCCATCACCACTGCCTTCTAGATTTGCATTAGCAAGAAACTAAAATGAAGAACTGGAACCAGGAACTGAACCCAAGTAATGTGACACGAGACTTGGGCATCCTAATCTGCGGCTTAATCTAGGCCAAATACCTGCCTTCATAGTTTTGCTTTCTGTGGTTTCAGTTACCCATGGTCAGAAAATACTAAATGGAAACTTCTGGAAATAAACAATTTGCAAGTTTTAAATTGGGCACCACCTGGCTCCATACTTCACACGAGTCAGCTGCTGGCAATTTGAGTATGCCGAAGAGAAGCAGAAGTGTGCTTCCTCTGTCTTCTCACATCATCCCAAGAAAAAGAAGAGTGAGTAAAGCACAGTAAGGTGTTTTGAGAGAGATCTCACATTCACATAGCTTTTATTACAGGATAGCTGTTATTATTATTGTTCTCTTTTCTAAAATTTTTATTTATTTGAAAGTCAGGGTTAGATAGAGAAGGGGGAGAGAGAGAAGGAGAGAGCAGGAGAGAGAATCTTCAATCCATTGGTTCACTCCCCCAAATGGCCGCAATAACCAGGTCCGGGGCCAATCTGAGGCCAGGAGCTTTTTCCTGGTCCCCCAGATGGGTGCAGGGATCCAAGCACTTGGCCCATCCTCTGCTGCTTTCCCAGGTGCTGGATTGGAAATAGAGCAGCCGGGACTCAAACCACTGATCATATGGGATGCTGGTAATGCAGGCGGTGGCTTAACCTGCTATGCCACAGTGCCAGCCCTAACTTATAAATTATAAATGTGCCTAATTTATAAATTAAACTTTATCATTGATATGTAGGTATAGGATATGTGTTCATTAATTTGCTAGAGTAGCTCAAAGAACTCGGAGAAACACTTGACTTATGTTTATCAATTTTTTATAAAGGATGTTACAAAGGCAAGAGATAAACAGCCAATGAGGAGGTACCAAGGGCAAAGTCTGTAAGGCTTCCAAGTGCAAGAGTTTCTGTCCCTGAGGAATTGGGAAGGTGCATCCTCCTAGCACGTGGATGTAGTCACCAACCCATGAGCTCATCAAATCTCATTGTTCAAGAATTTTATTCTTTCTTTTATTTGAGATGCAGAGACACACACACACACACACACACACACACAAACACACAATGGCCCAACAGCCAGGTCTAGGCCAGGCTGAAGCCAGGAGCACTATCCAGGTCTACCACTTGGATCCTATGGGCCCAAACACTAGGGTCACCATCTGCTGCCCTCCCAGGAGCATTAGCAGGGAGCTGGATTGGAAGCAGAGTATCTAGGATTTGAACTAACACTCCTATATAGGATGCAGATTAACCCACAGTACCACACTGTGCCCTAAATGAATTTTTTTTTTTTGAAAGGCAGAGACGGAGACCAGAAAGAGATCTTACATCTGTTGGTTCATGCCTCAAATGTCCAAAACATCAGGGCTGGGCCAGGTTGAAGCCAGGCACCCAGAACTCAACTATATGAGCAGAGAACAAATTACTTGAACCATCATCTGCTGTCTTTCAGGTAGCGCATCAGCAGGAAGTTGGATCGGAAGCAGAGGCGCCAGGACTCAAACGAGGCACTGTGATATGGGGTGTGGGTGCATTTTCATCACTCTATCAAATGCCTACCCATCATTTTTAATATGCAATGGTTTTATCATCTTAATACTTTTTGAAAATACTTTTCAAATTTTCCTTATATTCTAATTGATTCATGAATGTGTTTCTTAATCTCCAAATATGAACATTTCATAATTATCTTTTCTGTAAGTATTTATTATTTAATCCCACTGTGGTCAAACAATGCAACAGGTATGGTACTTCTTTTAAATTTGTTTAGGGGCTGGTGGTGTACCTGGAAAAGCTGCCGCCTGCAGTGCCAGAATTCCATATTGGCACCAGTTCGAGACCTGGCTGCTCCACTTCTGATCCAGCTCTCTGTTATGGCCTGGGAAAGCAGTGGAAGATGGCCCAAGTCCTTGGGCCCCTGCACCCGTGTGGGAGACCTGGAAGAAGCTCCTGGGTCCTGGCTTTGGATCAATCCAGCTCCAGCCTTTGCAGCCATTTGAGGAGCAAACCAGTGGATGGATGGATCTCTCTCTCTCTGCCTCTGCCTCTCCATAACTCTTTCAAAAAAATAAATTAAAAAAAATTTGTTTATATTTACTTTATGGCCCAATATTGGCTAACAAACATTTTAACAAACATAATGTTTAAAAGAATGTATACTGGCGCTGGCATCGTGGCGTGTGGGTAAAGCTGCTACCTGCGATGCCAGCATCACAGATGAGTGCCAGCTTGTATCCCAGCTGCTCCACTTCTGATCCAGCTCCCTATTGATGGTCTGGGAAAACCAGTGGAGGATGGCCCAAATGTTCAGGCCCCAGTTACCTACATGGGAGACCTGGAAGAAGCTCCTGGCTTCTAGCCACTGCAGCCATCTGGGAAGTAAATCAGTGCATGGAAGCTCGCTCTCTCTCCTCTCTCTCTCCTTCTCCTCTGTTTCTCCCTTTCTCTCTGTAACTCTTTCAAATAAATAATAAATTCTCTGCAGTTTTTAGGTGGTGTACTCTATTGAATCAAGTATACTGTTTTGTTCAAATTTTCTATATCCTTGATTTTAATTATTTTTAAAAATATTTATTTGGCTATTTATTTGAGAGATAGACAGGCAGACAGAGAACTCCTATCCTTTAGTTTATTCCCCAAATTTCCACAGCTGGGCTGAAACTGATAGCTGGGTGGAAACTTTTTTTCTTTAAAGATTTATTTATTCATTTGAAATGAAGAGTTACAGACAGGCAGAGGCAGAGGCAGAGAGAGAGAGGTCTTCCATCTGCTGGTTCACTCACCAATTAGCCACAACAGCCAGAGCTGGGACAATCTGAAGCCAGGAGCCGGGAGCTTCTTCCAGGTCTCCCACGCGGGTTCAGGGACCCAAAGACTTGGGCCATCTTCTACTGCTTTCCCAGGCCAAGCAGAGAGCTGGATTGAGAATGGAGCAGCAGAAACTTGAATCGGCACCCATATGGGATGCCAGCACTGCAGGTGATGGCTTCACCTACTACACCACCATGCCGGTTCCTGGGTGGAAGCTTCAACCAGGTTTCCCGGTGGGTGACAGGGTCTCAGCTGCTTCAGCCATTGCAGCTGCTTCCAGGGTGCACAGGGGCAGGAAGCTGGGATTGGGAACAGAGCCGGGACTTAAACTCAGGCACTCTGACACGGGATGCAGGCACCTTAACTGCTCAGCCTGATTTTATCTTTTTATCTGCTCTACAGATCCCTGGGAAATAGATGTTAAAATCTCTCTTTGTATCTGTGGGATTTGTTTCTAATTTCTTGTTCCTGATAATTTGATCCTTTTATCGTATCCAGTGACCCTATTTTGGTAATGCTTTTTGCCTTAAAAATCTCATTTCTTTCTGATTTTAATAGATCTTTTATTTAGTATTTATCTGCTATCACACACTTAATAATTTTTAATTTAATTGGAGAGAGAGGGAGAGAGGGCTTACTCCCCATTCTATACAGAAGTTGGGACTCAGGCCAGGAACTGAATCACTTACGCCATCACCTGCTGTCTCCCAGAGGGCACCTTAGCAGGAAGCTGGAATAGACAGCAGAGCTGGGACCTGAGCTCAGGTACTCCCATATGGGACAAAGGCATCCTAGCCAGAGTCATCTCCAGGCCAAATGCCATCCCCGTCTTTCACACTTTCATTTTCATTTTTTCTATATTCTTGTTATAATGATATCTTTGATGAAGACTAAAGAATATTTACAGAATTAAGTTCAACCTTGTTTCATTACCATGAAACAGGTGGCCTCCAGAAATAACCCCAATATTAGCTGGCGATAGAATACTCTTCTTCCTTCTAAATGGCTTTCTCATTTTTTAAAAAGATTTATTTATTTTTATTTGAAAGAGCTACACAGAGAGAGGAGAGGCAGAGAGAGAGAGGTCTTCTATCCGATGCTTCACTCCCCAAATGGCTGCCATGGCCAGAGCTGTGCCGATTCGAAGCCAGGAGCCAGGAGCTTCTTCCAGGTCTCTCACGTGGGTGCAGGGGCCCAAGGACTCGGGCCATCTTCTACTGCTTTCCCAGGCCATAGCAGAGAGCTGGATCGGAAGTGGAGCGGCCAGGTCTCGAACCGGCGCCCATATGGGATGCTGGCGCTTCAGGCCAGGGCACTTCAGGCCAGGGCGTTAACCCACTGCACCACAGCGCCAGCCCCCGCTTTCTCATTTATATTTAGTTTTGGGAAGATGAGCAGCTGGAGGAAAGATAGTGACAGTATGGTAGAAAACAATGAAGAAAACTGAAAAATTTAAAAAGCAAAAGAAATGAACAAAGTTCAAGCTGTGGGAGTGATCTTCCAGATGCAATCAGATCTTAAGTGAGAGGCCTAAGGATAACAGAAAGCAAGGAGTTATGGTTTGGGAATCTACAGGCAAGAGGAGGCTTTGCACGGTGCCAGCACCACACCCAAAGTATGGTCTGGAGGATCTGCACTGCCCAAGAATAGGACTGTAGAGGACAGGAAATAAAGGTCATCCAAAATCTGAAACGCGAAGTTTTCAGGATCAGGTTGCTAAGTCTGGTGTATCTGTGAGAAAGTACACTTGCACGTCTACATGTGACTTTGTGCTGACTGGCTTCTGTGGATGCCATTCCCTAAGCAAGCTCGAGTCACGGTCTCCTTCCCAAACCAAGCATTCCTTACAAGCACAAGTCAGAAGTCTGGAAAGCCATCTCTGAGTCATTCGTCCTCCCCTCACCACCAAATCCTATTGTTTCCTTTTCTTATTTTCCTCTTCTCTGGCAATCCCTGAATCCATTTCCTTCAGCTGCCTCCTAACTGGATTTGCCACATTACATAATGTGTGTGCCAGCATCTCCTCCGTTTGGCACATACAGTTGTCCCTAGGAACTCCACCCTCAGATACCCAAATCCACGGATGTTCAGTTCCCTTACGTAAAACATCATAATGTTTGTACATAACCTATGCCCATTCCCCTGTACGCTCCAAATCATCTCTGGGTTGCCTTGAATGCCTAATACCATGTACATGCAATGTAAGGGGTTGCTATCCTATATTGGTTAGGGAATAATGACAAAGGGAAAAAGTCTTCAGTAGAGCTGCATTTTTTTCCCATTTTCCATGTGGATAAGGAACCTATGGATATACAGGCTGGCTGTAGTAGCTAGAAGGTTCTTTTAACTGCCTGAACATATAAATCAAAAGCAAACACACACGATTTTCATGGCTTCGCACTCCCCTAGGAATAAAGGTGGAACTCTGTCTCCGTGCAACACAGCCAGGCTGCGTTCCCATGTGTACTTCACAGTCTATTTAGTGCTGTTCCCGCTGCCTACACCAAGTTCCTTTCCTAGTCAGCTGAAGGGGTCTTGTCCAACTCCTCCTCATTTCTCTCGTTTTACCTTTGGTATCACTAAAACCCTCTGACCCAGATATCAAAGTATATCACACCCACTGATAGCTCCCACAGCCTCTGGTACATTTCTCCATGCACTCAGTGCATTTGTAAACATGTCTATAATGTTGGTCTCCCTGCCTTATTCTAAGTTCTCTGGGGGCTGGAGCTGTCTGCCCTGTTCCTCTTTGTATTGCTAATCCCTAGCATGGTGCTTGGCACATGGTACTCACCTCACTGAAACAAAGACTGAATGTGTCTGGCTTTGTCTCTCTGTGCCTTTCAAATGAAAAAAAAAAAAAAAAAGTGAGTGAATGAATGATGAGTGACTGGGGAACATGGGATATACCAAGTGCAGAGCAAAACTCCAGTCCCCAGGTAGAAACCTGAGAAAATTTCTCTTGGGAGGGGGACTTGAAATTAACATGGGAACACTCTGTTTAAGGACCCCATGGCGGTTTTTAAATTGTTCTTTATTTTCCCTTTCGGAATTTTGGTATACTGTACTCAAAACATATCAGTAAGATAGAGGAGGAAGAGACTTTGTGTCCATTTTTCAGAAGGGAAAACTGTGGTTGTGGTCTGCAGGTAGGTTGGGGACTTTTGCATGGTATCAGGCATCTGTTTCCTGGGTCTGACCCTGAGGGCCGACCGTTTGTTATTCCAAAGCTGGCTCTAGGACTGGATAAAGCCTATGCGAGGACAGTCTGACACCGAAAAGCTAATCATTCCAAATCCTAAAAACGTTTCCAACTGGATATGAGCAGGATGTGGTAAATTCTCCCTTCCTAAGGTAGCAATGTTGTCTTCAGAACACAGATTTTGCCTCATACGAAGTGCATTATAATTAGGGTGAATTAATTTGTGAAAATAAAACACAGAACTTTCCTGTACCCAATATCCAAGTTACCCAAGCCATGCAAGTGCAAATCTCTCTGTATCTGTAAGTTCCTCCTCTCTGGCCATAGCCCATCAAGCATAGCTTCCTGGCAATGGCATGCATTTTCCTCCAAATATCATGTTTTAGTTGTGACCAACACTGACAAATGTGTCTGTGACAAGCATTCTTGCTCACCGCTTGGCCAGCCTGTCACCACTTCCCTTCAGTACTGGGTGGTTCTGAGTTAGTAATCTTCCAAGACACTCCCAGTGGTATCTGGGAGTGACCTCACCATCAGCCAAACAGGATTTGGAGAGCCCAGCAAACTCACTGGGGTGAAGTAGGCTGAAGTCAGTTTTTGTTTCCATTGCAATCATCTAATTGTTGGGTCTCTTGCCCAGCTGAAGCAAAGAAAACAAAAAAGATGAACTTACTCAAAATGTTTATACACTGTAGTTTATTCCTAAGGCAACAGAAAGCAAATAACCAAAAAACACAGTTTTTCAAGTGGGAGAATCACAAGTACATGACTAAGGTTTCTATTCAAATTGTGCATTTGCCCAATTACTTGAAAAAGTAGCCAAGATATTGTGAAAAAACTTTTAATGCTCAACACTTTTAAACTGCTTGTGGATACAATATTTTACAGTTTAACTTTTTTTCCCTTATACATTTTTTCAAGATTTATTTATTTATTTGAAAGGCAGAGTTAAAGAGAGAGAGAGAGAGAGAGAGAGAAAGAGAGAGAGAGAGAGAGAAAGGAAGGAAGGAAGGAAGGAAGGAAGGAAGGAAGGAAGGAAGGAAGGAAGGAAGGAAGGAAGATCTTCCACTCTCTGGTTCACTCCCCAAATGGCCACAATGGTCAGAACCAGGCCACACTGAGGCCAGGAGTCTAAAACTCCACCCCAGTCTCCCATATGGTATAGGGACCCAAGCAAATGGACCATCTTCTGCTGCTTTCCCAGGCACATTAGCAGGGAGCTAGATCAGAAGTGGAAAAGCCAAGACTTTAACAGGCACTCATATGGGATGCCAGTGTTTTAAGCATTTCCAAATACATACAACAATAAAATGCATCTTCATGCACTTCTAAGACATACTGATATGCTTTCTTGGACTATTAAGAGGTAGTCACAAAGATCACCTTCTCACATTTTTCAAAATTTTTTAAAAATATTTATTTATTTGAAAGGCAGAGTTACAGAGAGAGAGAGAGAGAGAGAGAGAGAGAGAGAGAGAGAAAGAGAGAGAAGAGGTCAGTCTTTTATCTGCTGGTTAATTCCCCAAAAGGCTGCAATGGCTGGAGCTGGGCCAGGCTGAAGCCAGGGGCCAGGAGCTTCTTCTAGGTCTCCCACATAGGTGCAGGGGCCCAAGCACTTGGGCCATCTTCCACTGCTTTCCCAGGCACATTAGCAGGGAGCTGGATCAGAAGTGGAGCAGGAGCAGGCACTGTGGTGTAGCAGGTTAAGCCGCCCACTATTACGGCCATTTGGGGAGTAAACCAGCACATGGAAGATGTCTCTCTCTGTCAATCTGCCTTTCAAATAAATAAAAATAAAATAAATCTTTTAAAAATATTGCAGTAGTTGGGGCTGGCACTGTGGCGTAGCGGGTGGGGCCGCCGCCTGCAGTGCCACATCCCATATGGGCACTAGTTCAAATCCTGGCTACTCCATTCTCAATCCAGCTCTCTGCTATGGCCTGGGAAAACAGTAGATGACCCAAGGACCCCTGCACCTGAGTGGGAGACCTAGAGGAAGTTCCTGGCTCCTGGCTTCAGATTGGCCCAGCTCTGGCTGTTGCAGCCATTTGGGGAGTAAACCAGCAGATGGAAGACCTACCCCCAGCCCCCGCCTGCCTCTGTGTAACTCTAGCTTTCAAATAAATAAATAAATAAATCTTAAAAAAAAATTCACTTCAACAACAACAAAAAAAAGTAGAGCAACTAGGACATGAACCTGCGTCCATATGGGATGCCCATGTCACAGGCGGTGGCTCTACTGGCTATGCTGCAATGCCAGCCCCATTTTTCAGAATTTAACTCGAGGCCAATACTGTGGCGAAGCTGGTTAAACCACCGCCTGCAGTGCCGGCATTCCATACCGGTTCTAGTCCCAGCTGCTCCACTTCTGACCCAGCTCTCTGCTATGGCCTGGGAAAGCAGTAGAAGATGGCCTATTTGCTTGGGTCCCTGCACCCACGTGGGAGACCTGGAAGAAGCTCCTGGCTCCTGGCTTTGGATCGGTGCAGCTCCGGCCGTTGCAGCCATCTGGGGAGTGAACCAGTGGATGGAAGACCTCTCTCTCTGTCTCTACCTCTCTCTGTAATTCTTTCAAATAAATAAATAAATCTTTAAAAAAAAAAAAAGTCCATAGGAACACCTGTTATGAAAATCCATGCATGAATTTAAAAATTTTGTATCAAAATAAACTTTTTTTGATACTATAGTTTTTAAAATATTTTTTCTTAGAGTAGGGGTTTATGGCCCACATTAGACTACTTGGGTGCTGTCCCTGGCTCCAGCTCCTGATCCAACTTCCTGCTAACACAGACCCTGGGAGGCAGCAGGCGATGGCTCTAGCAGTTGGGTTTCTGCCACCCACATGTGGGACATAGATTGAGTTCCTGGTTCCTAGGCTTTTGCTTTGACCTAGCCTTGGACTTTACAGGCATTTAGGAAATGAGCTGGTGGACAGGAGCTTTTCCTCTCTGCCTCTCAAAAAGTAAAATTGTAAAAAGGAAATGGGGTTGTCCAGTCTACTGATTAAGACGCTGGCTAAGATGCTCACATCCCATACTGGAACAGCTGGGTTCAATACCCGCCTCTGGCTCCTGCCTCCAGCTTCCACCAATGAGGATCTGGGGAGACAGCAGTAAAACCACACGTCATTGAGTTCCTGCTACTCATCTGGGAGACCTGGATTGCAGTTCCAAGTCCTGGTTGCAGCCCAGCCTAGTCCCAGTCATTTCAGGCATGTGTGGAGTGAACCAGAGAATGGGGACTCAACTCTCTGATTTTTCTCTCCACCTCTCAAATAAAAAAAATTTTTTTTTGACAGGCAGAGTGGACAGTGAGAGAGAGAGAGACAGAGAGAAAGGTCTTCCTTTGCCGTTGGTTCACCCTCCAATGGCCGCCGCGGCCAGCGCGCTGCAGCCGGCGCGCCGCGCTGATCCGATGGCAGGAGCCAGGTACTTATCTTGGTCTCCCATGGGGTGCAGGGCCCAAGCACTTGGGCCATCCTCCACTGCACTCCCTGGCCACAGCAGAGAGCTGGCCTGGAAGAGGGGCAACCGGGACAGAATCCGGCGCCCCGACCGGGACTAGAACCTGGTGTGCCGGCGCCACTAGGTGGAGGATTAGCCTATTGAGCCGCGGCACCGACCTCAAATAAATTTTAAAATAAATATTTTAAAAATTTATTTCTGATCTGCTCATAATCTGATAAAATACATAAAAGCAAGGATTATCCCAGTACCTCGAACAATGCCTGACACAGAGAAAGGCTGAATAGTCAATTGATATGAGTCAACTGGCATGAGGAGGTGGCCAGGAAACACGAAGTTAGAAAAACAGAATTACAGCACAGTGCAGAGAGTACCATACCATGCCAGGGGAAAGTGGACTGGGAGAGAGGGGACTGCACTCACCTAATAGTGTGCCCTCCATATTTCTGTTTACTTAGAGTTGGGCAGGGACGTGGCTACAAATTAGGACCAATAAACTGTGAAGTGAGTATGTCAGTTACGAGATGAAGCAGTAAGAAGTCCATGTGTGATTTCCTAGCCTTTTCTCATTGCTGTGGTTACTAAAGATGTCATCTATTTGAGAGTTTAACTATAACAGGGTGTACCCTCCATTATCCTGGATCCCAGGGTGAGGCCGTGAAAAAGCTGCCCGGCCCATCTGCTAGCAAGGGATAAACTTCCGTTTTATTAAGCCAGGAAAATCTGGGGAGTTGTCGGTTATCAAACATGATCTAGCTTATGCTGACTACACACATCTACACAGATGATCATTTTTAAGTATGTGCCAGAGAATATACAGCACATGTTACCTGTTTAATTAAACCCTTACACAGCCCTGCAAACCAGCACTATCACACTGAGAAGAGGAAGCGGAGGCACTGTGAGGACAAATTATTTGTCTAAGACTGCCAGCTACAGGGGAAGGCTGGGAAGCAAAGCCAGGCTACCAAGCAGCTCACCGTGCTTACTCAGGAGTGCAGGATTATGGGGACAGACCACTCTTTGTTGCGTACTTTGGAAAGGCTTCAAAGTTTTTAAACAATCATGTATCACCTTTGCCGTAAGTAATAAACAAGCAAATAGATAATTAAATTATCTTTCAGACACTTAAAAGCTATGAATTCAGAGACAGAAGATGAGTGATCACTGGAACTTGTTGCGATCAAGGATTTCACTATTTAAAAAAAATTTTATTTGTTTTAAAGGCAAATACATACACACACACACACACACAGACAAAGACAGAATCTACTGATTCACACCCCAGATACCCCCAACAGCTGGGTTAGGCTAAAGAAGCAACCAGGAACACAATCCAGGTCTGCCATGTGGTTGGCAGGAACTAAGTACCTGAACCACCACCTGCGACCTCCCCGGGTACACATTAGCAGGAAGCTGGAATTGGAAGCGGAGGTGGGACTCGAAGTCAGGCACTCCATTGTGGGATGCAGGCAATCCCAAGGGCAGCTTAACCATTGAGCCCAATGCCTGCCCCACGAATTTTTAAAAATGATATTCTACTCTATATAGGCATACTTGATTTTCTAGATAAATCCCAGCAAGTAAGTGAACTCTACTATATTTCACAATAAAATTGGAATCATTTCCTAGGGGGAAAATATTCCTTTTTTTTTTTTTTTTTTTTTTTTTTTTTGACAAGGAGGTAGTTACATGGTCATGTCTACAGCAGAATAAATATTGCTGTTCTGGGAATGTTTTCCTTTTTTTCTTTTTAAAGATTTATTTATTTGAAAGGCAGAGTGACAGACAAAGAGGGAGAGATACAAAAAGGAGGATATCTTCCATCTGCTGGTTCAATCCCCCAAATGCCAGCAACGGCCATGACTACGGCAGGCCTAGGACAGGAGCCAAGAACTTCATCCTGGTGGCAGGGGCCCAAGTGCCTGTGCCATCATCCACTGCCTCTCAGGTGCATTAGCAGGAAGCTGAATCGGAAATGTGGGATCACTGATTATGAGATGCCAGAGCCCCAAGTGGTGGCTTAACCTGTTGAGTCACAACTCCTGCCCCAGGGGGATGTTTTTGGATTTTCAATACTTACTATATCTCTTTAAAAGAAAACATTAAGAAGACAATTACTTATAGGTAAAAATAGCTTAACCAGATGTGCACTGTACATGTTCTATAAATCTAATCACATTAATAAAAATATTATGGTGTAATTCAGTATTTGAGTAGTTTTCTGGCTGCATGGGATCTGACTCCTCGGTCCAGCAATTCAATATTTTACAACTCTTGACAAAAGGAAACCAACTTGCTAAAATATTAGTTCACCCAGATCCTAGGCAGCTAGGTAGCATACCTGTCACCTGACTCAAAGCACCACCTCAGCCATAAGAAAAGGAAAATTATCTGAGTTTCATTTGCCTTAGAAAACAATAATTCCTACCGATATCCCAGCAGTTGTATGAGATCAAAATGAAATAATTTATGACCGTGTTTAGAGAATTAACACTTCAACCTAAGGTATATACCATATTGCATCAAATCTTAGACTCAGCTGTTGTACAGCACACCATCTGTTTCTATGTCACTAAGTGAGAAATAGTACGGCCAACTTAAAAACCAGATTATATACTTTCTAGTCACTTGGACATTTAATACTTAGTAGAAGAGTTCTTTTCGGGGCAGCGCAATGGTGTAGTGGGTAAAGCTGCTGCTTGCAGTGCCAGCATCCTGTATGGGAACCGGTATGAGTTCTGGCTGCTCCGCTTCTGATCCAGCTCCCTGCTAATGTGCCTGGGAAAGCAGTGGAAGATGACCCAAGTCCTTGGCCCCTGAACCCATGTGGGAGACAGGAGGAAGCTCCAGGCTCCTGTCTTCGGATCGGCCCAGCTCCGGCCACTGTGGCCATTTGGGGAGTGAACCAGTGGATGGAAGACCTCTCTCTCTCTGCCTCTGTGTAACTCTGCCTTTCAAATAAATAAAAAAACAAACACACAAAAGAGCTCTTTTATACTTAAGAGAGGGACTGTTGTATCTTAACTCTGTGTAAACCTAAGAGGACAGGATGGATGAAATCAACTGGTTGAAGAATTAACTTCTCTAATGTTCCTGAATCATTTCTCAACTCAACCACTGAAATTTATGATTTTCCATTAAAAACAGCATTATCTGTGCCACGAAGAATACTGGTGTGGCAGCACTTCTTACAAGAATCCCTAAGCAGGGGCAGGCACCGCACTGCTAATGAAGCTGTCGCTTGGGTCACTGCATTCCATAAGCGAGCCTCCAGGATTCCTATGCAGCTCCCTGCTAACGTGGCTGGGAGGGCAGCAGCAGGCCCAAGCACTTGGGTTTCTGCCAGAGAGACCCGGATGGAGTTCCTGGCTCCTGGCATCGGCCTAGCACTTGCCGGCAGTTTGGGGGCACAAACCAACGGAGGTAGGTCTGTCTCTTTCAAATAAAATAAAAATTACGAATGCAATACCTGGCGATGTCAATAAACGTTAACATTACGGTACCAGGCTGCTGGCCATTTGATTTTGCAAACTACTCACCAACTCTGAACCTCTGTTTCCTATCTGTACAATGGGCACAAACGCCACCCGGGTAGCGGGGCTCGGAGGAAAGTCACATCTGAGCACCATCTCTCAACCTCAGCACTACTGACCTCGAGGCCAGGCCAGGGACGCTGTCCGGGCGCGGCGGGTGCATAGCAGCCCTCAGGCCTCCCTCTGCAGCCCCCTGGGGCGCCCCTCCACGACTGAGCTCCAAAACGCTCAGGACACTGACCAACGCCTCCCGGGACAATCAGCGCCCGAACCCCAGGTCCGTCCAAACGGGACCCGAGGAGCGGAACGCAGCGGCCCCAACTCTGAGTCCCCAACCGCAGACACCGGGACTCGGACACCCGGCGAAGAGGAGTTCCGGGCGGCCGGCAGGAGGCCAAGTCCTACGCAAGGGACAGCACCGTGAGGGAAGGGGCCCGCACCGGTCACCGCTTACGCGCTGCAGGGCCAGCTCGCAGCGGCCTGGTCATCGCAGCTGTCGGGAGCGAGCAAGAGACGCCCCGCGAGCGGAGGCTTCTGGGACCCGCGGCCCCGCCCCGGGCGCGGACGCCAGGCCAGGCCCCGCCCCCGGCCGCCCAAGCCCCGCCCCGCGCGCGCCTCGCCCTGGCGGGCGGGGCCTCGGCCTCCGCCTGCGGCCGCCTGCGCGCGGCGCTGCGTGAGGAGGCAGGGGCGGGGTGGAGGCGTTGGCGCTGCCACGTTTAGGCCGCGGGTGCCGGCCGTGGCGCTGGCTGTGGAGGGCGAGGAGGTGGGGCTGGCTCTGAAGTCGGATCCGGATCCGGTACGGTGTACTCCGGCGGGTGAGACTCCGCTGCGCCTGGAGAGGATCGCAGACTCCGGGGCCTCCACGGGTGAGGAGGGGCTGGGGCCGGCGTCCAGTGAGTGGGCCTGGCGCTCCGGGTCATCAAACAGGTGCCCGCTCCCCCGAGCGAGGCCGGCTAGGCCCCCGCCGAGTTCTGTCGGCGCAGCTGGGCGCTCATCTTCGCCACCTGGGTGCACATGGGCGCGGGGAGCGCGGCTCCGAGGAAGTTAAACGGGCGCGCGCGGGGGCAGAGGTTAGGGTGATGCGGGGTCCTGGCAGGGCAGGGGCAGGGGCAGGGGTCTGTCTGCGCGCCCAGGCTTGAGCCGGGTTGGAGGCGGAGGCTCGGCTCCGGATGGGCGCGAACGTCTCGGGCCGCCTTGCCCCTTCTTCCCGGGGCGCGCCCTCGGTGGTCGGGAGCCCCTGGGGACCCCTCGTGCGTCCGCTCTGAGGATCACCTCTGGCACTGCGGACAGAGGGACAGCCTTTGTCTCTCCCTGGGGCTTCTGCCCCTACAAGCACCCACTCGTGATTTCTGTTACAGCAGCTGATGTTTATGTAAGCGGAATAAAGAAATTGAATGGGCCGTTATGGGAATCGGTTCGTCAGGGTAGTCGCTCATGAGCGAATCCTACAATGGATCTCAAGGAATTATTGAGATTTATTTAGGCAGGGCTCGCTTGTAGGGGAGACGGAGCTACCTATCAGGTGAAAACTGTTTGATGATGCAAACATTGGTTAGGCATCTGTCAGCACCGGTGTCGTAGAGGAAAACGGGGATTCTGGTCCTAATCCATTCATTTCCTGTTACCTTGCCTGGAGGTAACACAGGAAATGTGTTACCAACTTCCTCGTGGGGGGACTGGGAACAGTGAATGCTTGGGTTGTAGGGATTAAATAAGCCGTGAAAAAATACCTCAAAATTCGTGCAGTTGCACTATTTAGTGAATGTGGCAAGGCGTGTTAAAATCAGTGGAACAAAATGTTTAGGTTCAGAATGTGGTCAAGTTGTTACAAAATGTATATAGACCAGCCACAAGGTACCCATCCGACTGAGTCCCTTTCACCCTCCATCACCATGTGTTGCTCTAAGGTGTCCCAGGACCTACTGAGCTATAAACAATACGGCAATTTAAACTTGACTTTAGACTGTGTCTTGTGATTTTGTATATGGGCTTTAAAAACTCTCCAAGTATATTACTTGTTGCTTCCAGTAGGTATTTTTTTCTAGCAAAGATTCTCTCCATTTGTATTTCAATCTGATAGAGATTCCTGGAAACCAAATTGCTGGAACTGTATTTAAAAAAATAACTCAGTTGAGTGAAAACCTTTATCAGAGATTACTTGGGCCAGTTTGGGATTCTTATTTCTTCTGGGTTTTCTGAAATGTTGACTTCCAGGTAAGTCAAATCATTAATCAGTCATTCACTAGGCTTTTATTGGCTTAGGGTTAGGCATTTATGGGTCTTGTAAAGTGCACGCCAATTTCAGTTAAACTGAAAAGGCTCTTGAATATTTAAGAAGGGCTGAGTTTTACTTTTTGAAGTTACTCTAAAAACTTTTAAATAAGAACATAATGATAACAAGATGCTGCTCTAAACTATGCTAATTTTTTTAAGTTTCCTACTTTTGCAGGACCGGGATGCACCTAAGAGGCTAAAATATCTCTTCTGTGAGCCACCTGTTTGGTTCTTTTCTAAAATCCCTTGGAAACTGGCATCAAATCACATCCTGTTTTCCTCTGCCTGACATATTATTCAGGCACCAGCTGGATTTTACTGTTTGAGGACGCAGTGACAAAGTCAGCCTTAAGTATGGCTGTTTTGTAAAATAGCTCATAAAAACATTGCTTATATTAATTCTCCACTACCTTATCAATGGATCTTTATTTTTATCCATAATGTTTTGTTTAATGTATTTTGACTAGTCTGAAATTCCCACTTTCCAAATACAAGTTGCAAATGTGGCTTTTGGTGAAATGTGGAACCCTGGCACGACACAGCAAGGCATTCATCTACAGGAGTGCATCTCCAGTGTGTGGTAGTCAGGAACGCAGACTCTGAGGTCGCACGGCCCAGCAGGACTGGCTGTGTAATGTGGGGTAACTCCTGCAAAATCACAAGGCAGGTCTCTATGGTAAGAAATTCATGAGAATTTCAAAACAGTGGCAGCAGCGGATTAAACCAAGTGAGGGACCTGTACACAGGTCTAGCACTGATAAGCTAACCTCATTGTGTTTTGAACTTTGACTCTGTTCCTTGTTGGTACTGTAACCTGGTACAAGTTACTGCCCCTGTGTCCTTGGCTGTGAAGTCCGGATAATAATGGTACATACAACTTTGAGTGTAGTTTTAAGAGTTAACAGATGTAAAATACTCAATAAATATTAGCCAGCGTTATTTATTTTTTAGGATCATTCATGGACTAGGACCATCTGATTATGGAAAGCACAGGAAAAGTATTAGTACTCACTATAGTTAAAAAAACCTTAAAGGCTTCATAGCCCTAGCTCCTGTGTGCCTCTCGCCTCTCTTATAAAAATGACTAACCCTGTTTTGTCTGTTTTCCAGGCTGTGTCTTACTGTAACCTTAAGCAACTACATAGGAAAAAAAAAAATCTACTGAACTTTAAATTTTGCTAGTATTCCTCTAAATACTATTTTAAGCTTTCTTGAAACTTCACCCCTAAAGTTATGTTATATACTTAAGTTTTTAATAGGTTTTGGCTTCTGTATTTAATGTACATTTTATCCTCTTGACAGATACTTACCTTGAGTACATGAAAAGCAACGTTGCTACCCATCTTCCACTTTGAAATTATGCACAAAAGCCTCAGGGGTCCAATTATCAGGGACACACACTGAAATCAGCCTATTAAAAACCCATTTCAAATTTGTTAAATTTGATGTGAATGATTGTTTTAATCAGAATTTATAGCCTTTCCTTACTATTTTTAGAACTAAGTATAGGCTGGCGCCGCGGCTCACTAGGCTAATCCTCCGCCTTGTGGCACCGGCACACCGGGTTCTAGTCCCGGTTGCCCCTCTTCCAGGCCAGCTCTCTGCTGTGGCCAGGGAGTGCAGTGGAGGATGGCCCAAGTGCTTGGGCCCTGCACCCCATGGGAGACCAGGATAAGTACCTGGCTCCTGCCATTGGATCAGCACGGTGCGCCGGCCGCAGCGTGCCGGCCACGGCGGCCATTGGAGGGTGAACCAACGGCAAAGGAAGACCTCTCTGTCTGTCCACTCTGCCTGTCAAAAAAAAACAAAAACAAAAACAAAAAAAAACTAAGTATATATAATGCATGTCCGGTAACTTGATCTGATTTCTTTTTGGGGAAAAATTCTCTCAGTACTCCACATAATAAACTACTTTTTTATTCTTTACTTTCTAAGAAAGCTAACTTTTGGTATAACCTAAACATAATAGATAGTCTCATTCTTTTTGTAGTCCCTGCATCTAGCACAGTGCCTGGATCATGAATTAATTTAAGGGTGAAAAAAAGTTAAGAATTTATAAACTTTTAAATATGTTCCTATGAGAATGTTTCTTGTTGAGGGCTTGCATTGCGCCAGGCACCCACTCAGTGCCTGTGGCATCTAGTGGCGCGGTTCACTCTTGCAGTAATCTCAGCTCCTCTTCACAATAAGGAAGCAGGAGTCTAGGAGCTGCGTTGCCTTAGCTCATTTCATCAAGCTGATACTTAAACAGCCAGACTCCAAAGCTCAGGCTTTTTCCTGGCCTAGGTTTAAATCCTGGCTTTGCTAATTCTGTGACCTTGGGCAAGTTACTTAAGGTTTCCAGTGCTTCAGGGAAAGTGGAGATAACAATCACACCTGCACTGTAGCTCTCTGAAGTAAATGAATTAGCGATGTGCCACCTTCTCTGAACAGTGCTGGCACACAGTATGTGCAGAACAAGCGTCCACTTCTGTTATCGCAACACACTGCCTCCCCTAAGCCTGTACTGTACTGCAGCATTCCCTGTATAGTCCCATGGGCAGAAATGGAGTCCACCGGAAAGTTGAGAATGTTTACCTTAAAGCATATTGTGGCTTATGAATTAGAGAACATTTGGGAGTTAAGTCATTAGGAAAATTATCACTAAACTATAAGTTTCTCTATGTGGGTGTAGATAGAAATGAAAGTTGGAGTCTCTTTAGTCTCCTAATTATTAGGAGCACCATTTCTTCCAGCAGCTCTGAGCGCACGGAAGTGCTGCCCTCCCATTTTATGCTTCATAAAATCTGTTTTTCATTCCTCCTGTCATATGTTCATCTCACTTTATTAGACCACTAGTGAACACACCCATTTTTGAGTATTCAGACAGAAGGGGAAAGCAGGTGTTTGGCCTAGCCATGAAGATTGCACAGTAGAGACCTGGGTTTGAGCATTGGCTTCATCTCCTTACTCCAGCTTCCTGCTACTGCAGGCCCTGCGAGGCAGAGGAGACAGCTCAAATAACTGGGTTCCTGTCACTCATGTGAGAGACCAGGATTGAGCTCATAGTTTCATTTCCAGACAGTAGGGTGAGGACTTGGGGGAGGGGTGGACATTTGGGGAGTAAACCATCAGCTGGGAGCTCACTTTATCACATCACATAACTAGATAGTTTTAAAGATGGAGAGGAATACCATAATTGAACATTTTGTAACAGCATAAAAGACACTGACTATTCTTTTTATTTGAAAAGCAGAGAGATAGGAAAGAGAAACAGATCTTCCATCTGCTTCAGTGCCCAAATACCACAACAGTCAAGGCTAGTCCAGGCTGAAGCCAGGAGTCTAGAACTCAATGCTGGTCTCCCATGTAGAAGGCAGGACCCCAGGCACTTGAGCCATTACCTCATGCCTCCCAGGGTGCACACCAGCATTAAATTGGAATGAGATATGAGACTTGGGTGTGAACCCAGGCATGTCAAAATGCAATGGGGTACCTCAAGTGGCACCGTAATTTGGACCAAATGCTTGCCCCCACACTGGCTATTATTTTTTAAAAACAAGTAGAATTATTATTTCTTAAGATTTATTTATTTGAAAGGTAGGGTTACAGAGACAGACATCTTCCATCCGCTGGTTTACTCCCCAAATGGCTGTAACAGCCATGGCTGGACCAAGCACTTGAGCCATCCTCTGCTGCTTTTCCCAAGCCATTAGCAGGGAGCTGGATTGGAAGTGGTGGAGCCAGGATACAAACTGGTGCATATATGGGATGCCAGCATTGAAGGCAGCAGCTTAACCCCTATGCTATGATGGCCTGTATGCTGGTTGTTCTTAAACTGCTTATGTGCAGCTGAGAAATTTGTATTATAAAAACAATATCTAGAGACTCTTGATTTATCTATCATAGCTAATGTCAGATATTGCTGGGAATGCAGAGTAATTTGAGCGAGTTCATCAATTATTTCTCCTCATGGTTCAGGTAAAAAAAGAAACTGTATAACCACTAAGTCTTTGTCAAGACTAATAAATGATTCCTTAGTCCAATTAAAAAATCCAAGAATACAATATAAAACATTTGAACTGTTGAGGAGTCAGCTGTTTAGTACATGAGTGGCACCAACTCATAGTTTAAAGTATTTTGGCCGGCGCCGCGGCTCACTAGGCTAATCCTCCGCCTAGCGGCGCTGGCACACTGGGTTCTAGTCCCGGTCGGGGCGCCGGATTCTGTCCCGGTTGCCCCTCTTCCAGGCCAGCCCTCTGCTGTGGCCAGGGAGTGCAGTGGAGGATGGCCCAGGTGCTTGGGCCCTGCACCCCATGGGAGACCAGGAAAAGCACCTGGCTCCTGGCTCCTGCCATCGGATCAGCGCAGTGCGCCAGCCGCAGCGCGCCGGCCGCGGCGGCCATTGGAGGGTGAACCAACAGCAAAGGAAGACCTTTCTCTCTGTCTCTCTCTCTCACTGTCCACTCTGCCTGTCAAAAAAAAAAAAAAAAAAAGTATTTTAAAAGACCTGTTAATGCGGCCAGTGTTTTGGTGCAGCAGGTTAAGCTGCTGCCTGTGGTGCTGGCATCCCATATGGGCACCAGTTCGAGTCCCAGCAGCTCCACATGGGATTCAGTTCCCTTGCTAATGGCCTGGGAAAGCAGGAGAAGATGGCCCAAGTGCTTGGGCCTCTGCACCCATGTGGGAAACCTGGATGAAGCTCCTGGCTTTGGTCTGCACCAACCCTGGCCGTTGCAGCTGTTTGGGGAGTGAACCAACGAATGGAAGACCTCTCTTTGCCTCTTACTCTCCCTCTCTGTAACTCTGACTTTCATATAAAATAAATAAACCTTAAAAACACAGGAAAAATCCTTCCAATGGCATTTATATTAAGAAATAACCTGGCCGGCGCCGCGGCTCACTAGGCTAATCCTCCACCTAGCGGCGCCAGCACACCGGGTTCTAGTCCCGGTTGGGGCTCCGGATTCTGTCCCGGTTGCCCCTCTTCCAGGCCAGCTCTCTGCTATGGCCCAGGAGTGCAGTGGAGGATGGCCCAGGTGCTTGGGCACCTGCACCCGCATGGGAGACCAGGAGAAGCACCTGGCTCCTGGCCTCGGATCAGCGCAGTGCGCCAGCCTTGGCGGCCATTGGAGGGTGAACCAACGGCAAAAAGGAAGACCTTTCTGTCTCTCTCTCTCACTGTCCACTCTGCCTGTCAAAAAAAAAGAGAAAGAAATAACCTGACCATAGTTTCCCTTGTATGAAATGTCTTAACATTTGAAATTTTATTGTAGATCTAACTGGAAAGATGAAACCTGATGAAACACCAATGTTTGACCCTAGTCTTCTCAAAGAAGTGGACTGGAGTCAGAATACAGCTACATTTTCTCCAGCCATTTCTCCAACACATCCTGGAGAAGGTTTGGTTTTGAGGCCTCTTTGTACTGCTGACTTAAACAGAGGTATGAAGGCACCTAGTTTACAAGTCCTAATTATCAGGATTATAATTAGCCTTGTTTTCTCCATAAGCATGATGCTGCTACCTTTATAAAGTATTCTTTACTTTTGGATTGTTGTTTTTAAAATATCAGGGCCACCCAATTCCACTGTTTTGGTGTCATGGCTAAGTCCAAATATTGTGAAATAACTTAAATACAACATTGCTACTTCCTAATTAAGCCAAAAGATTTCTCAAATAGGTGAAATTATCATGCATGATGACACATAAGGAAGAACCTTCCAAAAGATGCCAAATGGGAAGTGAGGGCAGGTATCAGTTTTCCTGGATAAGTTAAAAGGGTTTTGTGTGTAGGTGTGTGTGTATATACACACATATATATATTTCTATATTATATATATTTGAAACATGTAAACTCTCCCAAATAATGTCCTTAAACTTTGGTAATTAAAAGTCAAGATTTTACTTTTTACTTTTTATAGTTTTCTCTTTAGTATGAAATCTGAAGAAGATAATTTTGCTTTGATCATTGAATATGCAAAAAATAAGACTAAAAAACTATTTATACTTTGGTTACCGATACCGTATTTGCTCATAGTAAGACTTTTGCACTTCTAAGTAAAACTGAACTGTATGTTTGGGAAAACTTGTCGGCACTGCATTGAACTTCAATTGCACTGAGAAAGCTTTGTGCTGGATCTGTGCATGCTGGATATGACGGTACAGCACTATTTCAGAAACTTCAGGCCTGTAAGGCAGCTCATGAGATCTGTTTTTATTATATGTAGTGAGCACAGAAAGAATTATAAAATAATTAAAAGATGAATCATTATGGAAGGCTTTCAAAAAACAATTGCCTATTATCTACTTAAAACTACTTCTTTTAATATCGTATCTTGTTTTTGCTCTTCTCATGACTTAAAATCTGTTTTTCAAAACTAGGCTTTTTTAAGGTCCTGGGTCAGCTGACAGAGACTGGAGCCATCAACCCTGAACAATTTATGAGTAAGTATGGTGCACCTTTCCCCAAAGGAAAGAGAGGGAAATGATGTCTTGTGGAGAACCCTGTTTGGTGCCTACTTGTGTTTCTATTCAAGTAGCTCAAAGTTACTCAAATAACAACTTAGGTATTTTGTTATTTAAATATTTAATATGATCAAGTTGTTCTAGAAGTAGCAATCACTTTGTTTTGCAAAATACCTAATCTTCAGTAATTACTATAGCATAAGACCTAGGTGGAGCTTTAGAGATTTTTTGATTGTAGTATTTCCTGTCATGTGTTTAGGTTATTCACAGAAGTTTCATCACCAATTCAAAAATATACCAGCATATATTCTAACTTTATATGTGAAGGTTAGCAGGAATTTCAAAATTAGTCCAACCCCACCATCTCTCCAGAGAGATTACCCAGGACTTTCCCACCTTCACAGGCAGTTCTTCCTAAGGAAAGCACTCCAGTGTTACTCTGCCTGGTACTTAACTGCCTTTCTGTGTTTCTGTAATTCTTCATTTCTCTGCAGATGGTGATTTTATTTTGTTCTCTGGATGACCTTCTTGAGAAGGAAGAACTTCATTCTTTGATTTTCACTGTTTCCTTTCAATGAATTTATTTCTTCTAGAGTAAGACTGTACAATGACTTAGACTGTTAGGGCCAATTTTGACTCCCAGATTCTTTCTTGCATGCATTATCAGAGAAAAAACTGTCATTTCAACAACATAAGTACTTAAAAAAAAAAATCAGTGTTGACTATAGTGTGTCTTTGTTATGTTAACTCTAGAAAAATTACTTAAAAATGGAAGCATATTTTTCACCTTCCTGCAAGTTACTTTCATATAAGATAAAAACAATGAAATCTTTCTAAGGGAAAGTAACATAATCACAAAACTCCAGAGATCACAAAAAGAAAGTTGAAAACTACTTTTGTGAAAATATTTTAAAACCAAGACTAAGAATTATAGCATAGAGCCATGTAAGCCCGTTGAAATTTGCAATTTTGTTCTATTTAAATATTGGTTGAGTATAAAGGTTAAAGAAATCTAAGTAAAGTTACTACATAATGAAGATACTGAAGTTTTAATTCATTAGCGACATAAAATAGCAATAAATTACAGTGTATCTTCATTATAAGTGCTGTTCAATCTAATGGACACTGATTGCTTGTATTCCAGCTACTTGGTCACTTTTAATACAGTTCTTTAGAAATAGAGAGTAAATTACTAGTAAAATAGCCTGAAATATTCAATAATTAAGTCAACTAATACTATTATTAAATAGTCAATAATTAAGTCAACCAATACTAGTACGTTTCTGAGAACTTATAAAGCTGATTACTTGCTATATAACACTTTATTTTCCATTTTCCACAGAATCTTTTGAACATATGAAGAAATCTGGGGATTATTACGTTACAGTTGTAGAAGATGTGACTCTAGGACAGATTGTTGCTACAGCAACTCTGATAATAGAACATAAATTCATCCATTCCTGTGCTAAGGTATGTGCTCAAATTAATGTTGATGAGTAAAATAGGTCTTTTTTTTTTTTTTGCTCAGAAAACTGACCTTGAGTTTCTGCTAGACAAACATGTTTTCTCCTTATTTTCCATTGCTTCTTAGAAATCTCTTAGTAATAGGGATTTTCCCAGTGAGAGCTATACAAAAGAAAACATCAGCAGTATGAAGTGTTTATTAAAATTATTCTATAAGGTGTTAGTTTTGGTATAAATTCTTCAGAAATACTTTAGCTATTTCTATCAGCTTACAAGTGGCAAAAGGTTCAGAATACCATATTCTGTTCTATTTGTAATACTTCTAATGCCTGTAGCACTGTGAGTCACTTCTATGGATTAATTTTGGTGTGAAATTTATTTGGATCTCCAAAATAAACTGCTGTAAGGAGGGCAGTGAATGATGGATGCACTATGTTCACAAAAAGATGACTTCTTGGTAATGTATATTCAGAGATTTGGTTAGAATGACGGTGTTTGGAGGTTGGGGAACCAGGCAAAACAAGATGAGACCACAGATTGATTCATAATACTATTTGCTGTGTGATGATAATAAACTATTGTTTGCATTTTTTTTTGTGAAGTCCACGTTTACAAAACATGCTTCTTTTTATCAACACATTCTGTTTATTTGTTGGGTTAGCTAAAATAAAAATAGGTGCCCTAGGCCTTTAATTACTTTAAATATTTCCAGAGAGGAAGAGTAGAAGATGTTGTCGTTAGTGATGAATGCAGAGGAAAGCAGCTCGGCAAATTGTAAGTAAGCAGGATTAGTAAATACTTTTAGTCTCTTGCCAAGATACTTGTTAAAACTAAACCCATTCTCTATAGCTAAGATTGAATTTAGTGGAAAAGTATTGTACAACTTTTACCTCAATAATCATATACTATAGAAGTATACTCCTTTATCAACATAACATCTTTTAGTTTTTTAACTTCTAACAGCATTCTCATGCTACTAGGAAATAACTTTTGGGTCAAGTGATTTGCCTGTTAATCTTTTTTTCCTAAATATTTATTTATTTTATTTAGTCAGAATTTCATAGAGGAAAGGCCAGACAATGACAAAGAGCTGTCTGCTCCCCAAATGGCTGTTAACAGCTGGGGCTTGGCCAGCTGATGCCAGAATCTTCTAGGTCTTCTACATAGGTGCAGGGGCCCAAGTCCATTGCTTTCCCAGGCAGTGAACTGGATCAGAACTGGAGCACTCAGGACTGGAACCAGTGCCCATATGGATTGCCCGTGCAGCTGATGGCGGCAGCCTGACCCACTGCACTACAGCACCAGCCCCCCATTTATCACATTAACAGACAAAGGAAATGTTCAACTATTAGAGAATATTCTGTGACCTTGTTCTCATTAAGTGTAGAAATATATACTCAAACAGCTTGTGCTGTACAAAGGGGCTTCAAAAAGTTCGTGCAAAAATCTGATCAGCAGGCCAGGCATTTAGTAGAATGGTTAAGACACTGCTGGGGAAGCCCACAATCCTATTCTCAGGGTACCTGGTTTGAGTCCTTGCTCCACTTTCTGTTCCTGCTAATGTGCACCCTAGGAAGCAGCAGTGATGGCTCAAATTTGTGGGTCCCTGCCACCCGCATGGGAAACGGAGTCTCAGCTTCTGGCTTTGGCTGTGGCTATTGTAGGCATTTTGGGAGTGAAGCAGCAGATGGAAAGAATGTGTTTCTCTGCCTTTCAAGTAAAATGAAAATAAATAAATGGAATTAAAAGATGTGACTTTTCCATTAATTTTGCACTATTTGAAGGATTTGTAAAGATGTATGCATTTTTGCTGATTTCACATGTTAATTTAGACCTATCTTGAATTAGTGATACATACTTTCATAAATACTGACATGACTTTAAAAATGAGAACCTATTAAGTGACCATTTCATATGGGAATATTGACTACTTACTCCTAAGTGGTTTGAATACTTAGAATAAAGATCTTTTGCAGAATAATCTTGGCAGTATTTTTAAAAAGATCGATAGTATTTAGTATTAACATGAATTAACCTATTTTTGAAGAGGGTTTAGCATGAGTACTAACTATCCTGTTAATGGGCTGCAGATTACTGTATTAAGTATATCTGAAACCAAATAAAAACATTCTGGTGATTTAAATGCTTACCAACTTTCAGTATGAATATGTAAATGAATACAACAGTAAAAGATGTGATCTAAAAACTATTTGTAATAAAAATAAAAACTAAAGCTTTATAACATTATCCATGTTAATAAAATCTTTTTATTAATAAGTGCTCTTTCCCCACTCTCACCCCCCTTTTAAATTTCAGGTTATTATCAACCCTTACTTTGCTAAGCAAAAAACTAAACTGCTATAAGATTACCCTTGAATGTCTACCACAAAATGTTGGTTTCTATAAAAAGTTTGGATATACAGTATCTGAAGAAAACTACATGTGTCGGAGATTTCTGAAGTAAAAAAGTCTCTTAAGAAAAGAATACTACTACAAGGCTGTACTCTTCAGAGAGAAAATATTGTTGCTGCAACCCAGTGACCTCCATAAATACTGGACTGAAAAAAAATCCCAATAGAAGTATAATGACATTTAGAAGATTACTTTGGGCTGGTGGGGCATACTGAGTTTAGCTTACAAATGAATATTATAAAGGGGATGATTTTTAACCAAAGGAATATATTTTTAACTTGAATCTTTTCTTGCATTGTATTTTTCTAAAGTTTGGCTTTGTTTCTTGGTAGTCAATAAGGTAGTAAGGTGTTAAATGTCTGCTATCTATACTGCTCTTTTTTTAAAAAGCATACACCAGGGCTGGCCGGCCTTGTTGACTGGGTTAAGCCACTGCTCATGATGCCAGCATCCCATTTGGAGCACTAATCTGAATGTCCTGGATGCTCTACTTCCAATCCAGTTTCCCGCTGATGTGCCTAGAAAGATGTCTTAAGTACCTGGGCCCCTGCCACACATGTGGGAGAGCAGGATGGAGAGCCTGACTCCTGACTTTGGCCTGGCCCAGCTCCTGCTGTTGAGGCCATTTGGGGAGTGAGGCAGTGAATAGAAGAAATCTCTCCCTCTCTCTGCCTGTCAAATCTTTAAAAAGTTCAGACTGCAATTAAAAACAAATTTATATGTATATAAAGCATACACTGAATAAGGATGTTTCTTATTAGAGTCATAATTTTTTTTGTTTCAAAGAAACATCTTAGTTATATCATTTCCCACATATTAATTACCTGAAGTTGGATAAATTAATTATAACTATAGTATATCTAACATTTGTTGATCCTAATACAAACAACCTGGTCAGCCTTTTAAAATAGAAAAATTTAAATGTAAAGATTCTGTATAGACAAAGTACCATCTCTTCTCTGTGAAATATAATTATTAAAGATAATTCATAATATAGTGGGATATCTAAGGTACAGTGACTTAGCAAAGCTTGGAGTATTTCTAACCTGATTATCTTGTCATGAGTAATCTGAAGCCTCTCTTCCAAGTACTACTTTTATGAAAAATATTACAAAATTGAGTGGAATACTTAAATGTATAGCACTGCATTTGTCACATCCTTAAATTGCTGGTGGATCTTTTTCCATTTAATGCGATTATAATGGTACTGTTATTCTCACTATCCTGTTTTATTTATTTTAATTATTTCTTGAATTTGATACTTTATTAATGGTTCTTATCTTTTGCATTCCATGTCACATTAAATTGGTTCATACGATGGTCTTTTGTGAGAATCCCATCTGTGCTTTTTGAGTATTCTATTCAGCTATTAAAGCCTTCAAATTTTAGTTTTGTAACCTCCTTGTTAGATGAACTTGGAAAGTAAAGACCACCTTTTTCTCATCTGAGACCTCAACTGGATTTTAGCTCTCCCTCCAGTCAGTTTCCTGAAACCAAAGGAATCCTTGGCCAGTAGAGGGTGCACTAATCTACTCTTGGCCTATCCACATGACCTGACCTGTTCTGTCTGTTCCCAAGTCCTACAATATTAGCATGACAATAAGTAAATTCTGGTAATTAAACTCATGTTTAAAAAAAAGCCTTGGGATGGCATTGTGGTGCTACAGGTTAAGTTGCCCCTAGTAATCCCAGCATCCCAGGTGGCAGGGCCAGGTTTGAGTCCCACCTATTCTGCTTCTGATCTAGCTTCCTGCTGACGTATCCTAGAAGGTAGTAGAAGATGGCCCAAATGACTGGGCACTACCACCTTCATGGGAGACCTGGGTTGTGTTCTTTGATCCAGGCTTTGGCCCCTCTGCAGCCCTGGCCATTGCAATCATTTGGGGAGTGAATCAGCGAATATATGGGAGTTCACTCTCTGACTCTCAAAGCAAAATAATCTTGGTAAAAGGCAAGATTCAGTACTTTATTACATTTCTTAATATTGACCCATTTGAGATAAAAACATCAACAAGGTTGGTAATTCAGTAAACAACTTTCTGTGGTGTTAATGTCTTAAGAGTAAGCCCTCCTATAAACTTCCTAGATAAGGTAACATATATAAAATGGTGTCATCAAGGAGGAAAATGCTAATTTGATTTTAGCTTTGGTTAACAAAACCAGAGTTAGGACTTCCTTTATAAAGCCCTACTGAGTAAACTTGAATATGAAAAGAAGCTGATCAGACATTGAATATATCAACTATTTAACCATAGTTTTGGCAGTTTACTTAAGAAAAGGTTAAATGAAGTAACATTTGTGATTTTTACTGTGCCCCATGTTTTGTGTATCTGTATTCACTTACTTAAAATGTATTATAGTATCTCTGAAATCTGGCTGCATTTTATAATCAATGGCTTGTCACTGGTTAGTTTACAATATATTACCATTTAATGGTATCTAAAATAATGGTATAAGTGTGATAGGGTTTTATAAATGCAAAGAAGGTACTTGTGCAAGTCTTGAAATAGGTGGAAAACTGGATGACCTACCCTACAGCCACAAATTCACTTCCAACTGCAAACCTGTTCAATTAATCTTTAAAAATACACTTTAGCTAGAATTTGGAGCTTGTGTGGTCTACTGACCGTAATTTTTTTCCATACTGTTTCTGTAGCATACTCTCAAAATGGTCTAAATGTCTGATTTCATTTATCCTTCTTCTGTAGGAGTAAAGTTAGGTTACTTTTACCCAGCAGGTAACAATCTAA